ATTGTATATGCGTGTATGTGCTGTGTGCACGTTTGTATGCTAGTGTGTAAATTGCGGCGTACGACTTTGTTAATGGAAAATTGTTGAAATTCAACATCTACAACAACAATATTCGAATTTGGCATTATTTTTTTTTTAATATATATTCTGTATCGTTCGTATTCTTTCGTGTTTATGTCATCGAAAGAGTAAGAGAGACTGAGGCACACACACACACAGCACCAGTGCAAATGGCGTGCGAGCGAGTGAGGAAATTCGAACGAGAGAAAGATGCGACGCGTTTGCTATTGGACCGATTAGATGGTATGAGGACATGGGGTGGTACACACTCACAAACGCACACACCGACAAGCAAGTGGTTTATTATTGTGTTGTTGTGTTACTACTGCTGTTGCTGTTGCTGCTGCTGCTGCTGTCGTTGCTTTCATATCTGCTGACTACACAAAATTCGCTTGTGCACGCGTTTTTAACGATTTACGTTTTATATTTTTTCCCCTTCTTTAATTCTCTTTTATCGGGATACGTCGTTCGAGTTTCCAATACAATTTACACAAAAACATCGCCATCGCATAAAAGAGAAAACGTAAGAAAGAGAAAGAGGAAGAGAGAAAAAAAGCAATGCTCAAAAAAGAAGAAGTAATAAAATCAATCGGATTTTTCGTTGTCATTTCCCGGTTTTTCACTTTTCTCTTCATTCGCTTGATGCGTAGAAAATGCGACCCAACAACCATTTTAAAATGTTGAATTATGCTCCATAACAAGTTGTTTGAACGAAATGAACCTAGCAAATAAGACATTGACGGGCGCACGCTCACAACAACAACATGAAAAGTATCCACAAGAATTTCATATCATTCAAATATGATCGGTGCTCGACGTTGAATTGCTTGACAAGCTTCTTCTGTATATCATATCAACATTTCTTTTTTTTGTTTCTTGCTTCGAGTGCAATGTGTATCACGTGCAATGCCATCGTATACTTTGATGGATATGAAGAAATGTAATCTTGGTGGCATTTTCTGTTTATTTTCAATCTTTATGAGTCATGAGTCGTTTTTTCTTGTTGATTTTTTTCGCCAGCCAAACGTTTTGCAGAAGAAAAAAAAAACCTTTTTACATCAAACAGACAATGTCCAAGTTAACTTTTAACGACTTTTTCACTATCGAATAAATTGAAAAATATTTGTGATTTTTTTCTCTCTAAGTATACAAATCATCATCGGACTAAAAGCCCGCAAGAAAAAAATCATAACGACGAGAGGAATAAATAAGTAAAAAAGAAAGAGGAGAAGCACATTTTCTGTTTGTGAAATATTGTGCGTAATATAAAATCCAATCTATTCTATATTTTATTGATGCATGAACAACTCTATTTTCAATTCACATTTAACTTGAGTTATTCGTTCTTCGAATGAAATGGTTAATTTTATCGTTATGTGCAAAGTCTCATTAAATATGTTCTAAAAGGCCTAAGAAAGACATTTTGCCGCTTTTTTCCGATGAATACGGCTCGTTTTTTTTTTCAAATGTTTTAAAATTGTAAAACAAATGTTATGCAAAATGTTTCAATATTTCCACGTTTTTTTTTCTTCTGACATGTATACAATGAATATGCGGTGTAGAATGTGACAAATTTCTTAATAAATTCATCCATTGTGCAGGTGAATCGGAAATTAACAAAAAAAATGAATTGTTGTCTTCGTCATCGTCATTCTCGTACCAGTGAAATGTGATAAGCTTTCTCGCGTTGTCTGCTCACAGAATAGTCTTTAATTTATATTTATTTAGATATAAAATAAATACGATTTTAATGTTGTAATACTATAAAAGTGAGTTGCAGAAAGGCGTTCACGTAGAAATATTTGGATTTTGAATTCATGTCAAAACTGCATTATTTTCACTATTTTAAGATGCTGAAGAATTATCAGCTTAGAATAAAAAAAAGTTTCCACTTTATGACTTTCGGAATGTGTTTAATTGAGAATGGATGAGCACTTCATTGGAAAGAAAAAAGTGTCTTTATAGTGCTTTTTAAATGATGCCCATTACATTGTCTACATGTTTATTGTGTTGTCCATTCAATGGAATAATGTTTCTATTAAATCTTTAAGTTGAATTTATTGATGCAGTTGATTGAACACAAAAACAACAATCTCATCCATTTCAATGTCCGATCTTATGGAATGTGCTTGAATTTAATCATTAAACACGAATCATTTATCGGCAAAATGTTCATTTCATCAACGGGTAGTTGAAATTTACGATACACTCTCTAATCGCACACATTCCAATTATTTGGAAAGATTCGAACTTTTTTTCTGTTTTGCATCGTCATTTAATGAATGAATTCTATTTATAATAATCAATTATAATGCAAAAATATTGTGCATTGAAAATTGTGTTAGATGCAATTCATGTGACATGGATAACGGTGATTGAAAAATAATGAGTAGCATTACGTTTTGTTTACATTGGCGCCGAGATATGTGTTGTTCCGAGAAAATGTTGATAGTGAGAAATGAAGTGAGCCATATCACAATCATGACAATGTGGAGCAATACAAAGTATGATTGACCTAGTCATACATGGGCGCACGCATCTGGCAAATTGCACCAAATGCGTGATATCAGCTGAGTGGAGAGAATACAAGGTGAAATACAGTGTGATATCGAAAGCGGTAAGTGTGTGTACAAATGCACACATGTTATATGGAAAGTGTATATCATTAATAAGATTATCGGAGGCGCTCAATGAGAAGGGGAGACTTGAAATGTGGAAAACATATTATCTTCATACAAAAACCAAAGTAAATGGTATGTACTTGGACACGGTACGGTCTATGATAATATACACATGTAATTTATACATTCTATGACATACTCAACAAATATTTCACACTTCAGTCCATTCAATAATGAACGAGCATGAGACAAGATTACTTGATTAATAAAGCGTTCGATTGGTGCAGTTCACGTTGATTCAACGGAAACTGACAAACACATTCTTTCACCTTGTAATACCTAAAATTTGCTGAAGTAAATGAGTTAAAACACACGGACTAGAATTTAATTTGGAATTGAAAAGAATTGAGTGGAATTGAATGGAATTGATAGAATTGAATCTAGTACTGCTTCGCCCCTTGCTTTAAAGCGTCAGATTTAGCACCATTTGCGTTTATATAGCTTTGTCATAAAGAATCAATGGCTCTATAACACGTTTACACTAAAAATCGAAATGGTTGTGCATGTACTTTTTTTAAGTGTAGTATTTCCTTTTGCATGACGCAATCGTCTTGACTTCTCATCACAATCGATTTAAGACAGTTCAACGCATACAGACACACACGTTCGAATTGAAATAGAACCACGTGCCTTCGGTCTATTGCTTGTATATACAACAAAATTACATATTGTATTTGACGTATTTTAAATATATTTATGTTGGTGAAATAGAAATATAATGGTTTGTGCCACGAAACAGCCTGTTGTACTTGTGTCTGGTATTTGGGTATTTTTTGGCATAATATCCATGTTAGTCGCATTAGACAGTTTGGTGTCGTGTATTTCATTGGTAGCGCTTGTCTTGTATCCGTGATTTTTTTTCTGCAGCAAGCACGATGCGGAGTCAGAATAAGGACGTTTCAACAAAGAATCATCTTCCGTATACTGAATTAAATGTGAAAGTGATATAAATACAACAAAAGAGAAGGGGTTGGCGTTTCTTATGTGCTAACAAACTCAACGACAGCAGACAGAGACTGATTTTATTGTTAACCATAAGACGATGTTGATATGTTTCTTTAGTCGCTTCTATTGTGTGTGTGTGTGTGTGTGTTTTTGTATGGCGCCGATTATTACCATTGCCTGCCAAAAGGGATCTTACACGCGAGATGAAGCATGCTACAATATAAACATACATATATTGGGCGATAAATGCCGTCGACTACTAGACACAAAAGCATCTACACACAGCCGAACATTATTCCTTCAATCCATACGATACAGACAGTGGTTTTACGCGTTGCGTATATTATATGATAAATGCATTCGAGATTTTGTGCTTATAGGCACTACAGAACAGCAATGTGGGTATAAAAAGGTGCTGCTGCTGTTGTGTCTTGCTGTGTGAAGTAAATATAGCCTTCCTCTTCCTCTTCCTCATTTCTTTATACGATGGATGTTATCATTTTCATGTGTATTATGAGTCGGGAAATGAGTTGGCATCATTTTTGTTTTGGGACTCGTTTTCTTTTCGCACCGTGTGTACCAAAACACTTCGCCTTTTTCCACTTGATGAAAACGAAGACGACAACGATAATGATGGGTCGTACGTCTACAGTACGTTGGCGTTTGGCATTGGCATTGCTCTTTATGCAATGTTGTGTGTTGTATTTCTGTAAAAAAGGTTGCCATTTTTATTATTGTCGATGATTTTATGTGGTCTTTGGGGGCTTGCCAATTGTGTACATGATAAGAAATAAACTGGATGACACAAAACAAGTACAATATTGTTTACATTACGAAAGGTCAATGTCTATACAAAATTATAGGCAATTTTTTTGGTGCATTTTTGTTTTGTTTTGGCCATTTTGTAAACAAACCCATAAACACAATTCTACGAACTTTTATGGACATTTTCTGCTTTCAATTGAATGTTCAACGTAAATTCATTTTTAATTAGTTACAATTCTATTTTTGCAAAAATACACTTGGTTTTTTCTTGCACATTTCATTGTAAAGTTCTTCGTTTATCAATTGATTTGAAAAACTATGGTTGCTGTACAGATACATAGCAGAGCACCGAACCCAATCGGGCGATAAAAGCTCGTGCAAGTTTCAGTGTCTGTTGTACGATGGCGCTGTGTGTACCATCGAAAATAATCGAACGCTTTTTTGTTATAGTGACGAACACCAATGAGCATGTTTTTATTTAGACTTTCCGTTTAATATTCCATTGCTAAATTATTATTGTATTTTATTATATTATATTTAATTTTTCAGATCTACGGTGCCGATGGATCATTGCTACGTGCGGAATCACGTCGCGGTCGCGGAAAAGGACGAGGCGGTGGTGCTGTAAGTACTCAAAATATTATTTGAATCATCATTTCAATTTGAAAAAAAAAAATTGCATATACACTGGAATTCCATCTAGGCAGAAAAAGACAATTCCGTTTTTTTTATTTTCAATAAAACTATACATTCAAAGAAAATTGCAATAAAAGATAATTAAAGAGATATAATAATCTCATGTTTTTGACCTGACCAAGTAGGTGACGAATTAAAAGCGTTGACCACGAGTCGCAAAGTAGAATCGCAACCTCCCGTAAATATCTGCGCACGAATTTACTGAAACCGTGCATGCCTAATAATAGTCGTTGTGCATTAAAATGAAACAAAAAAAAAAAACAGATCTGTGTTACTATAATGTACGGAAGAGGAAAGAAAGAGTGGAAACAACAACACTATGTACACAATATTGATGTTGCATTCGAAACAGCTCATGTAGAAGCCGTTTGTTAAGATAATGTAGGTAACAACGAGAAAGACACACAAACAATAAACAAACGTAAACGAGAAAAAATCCACGTACACGTATCGCCACAGATTTCAATCTTAATTAAAATATTTGCTGATGCTGTTGCCAGTTGTTGTCTTTCACATTCACTGCATTCACCCAGCAAATGCCACAAATTCAACGACTCGAGCCGAATAAATGAGTGTATGCAATTTGAACAACAACAAAAAAAAGTTATTTAACAGCCAAAACTGTAAAAAAAGCATTACAAAAATGAACGACCGATCTTTTCATTTTAATAAATTGAATAGAGAGTGTGAATGTACGACAATCGGCCATTCAAAAATAGCGTTTTTTTGTTTTTCCGAAGTCCAATTTCGTTTCAAAAAACCATCATATCCAGGAAATAAAGAGCTAGACCATTCGTTAATGCAACCGTTGAAAACGACCATCATAAAAATGTATTTATGTAAATAATTTCTGGTATTTGGTTTTTTTGCTGTTTTTGGTGCCGTCAAAACAAAACGGAGAAAATTAGTGACTGTGAATAGAAGAAACGGTCAAATTGTTTCACGAGATTATAAAGAAAAATATAGTTGTCAGTCTAAAAAAACATGAACTGTTTTAAATTGTATGTTGATTTTAAGCCGATCTTAAGATGATGTAACTTTTATCACAGCACAACTTATTTCTTCCGTTTGATTTAAATCGAACGAACTTTCACCGTGCGCTTTCAGTGGTTTGTGTGGTTTTGATCTTGGCTGAAGCTCCAAGAGCCAACCACCTACAACAATACACAGCTTTAACAGCGTTTGCATCGAAAATTTAAAGCAAAACGAATGAAGTGATTTTCTTTCATAATCAAACTTCATTTCGAATAATTCACATACGACTTTCGTTTGGTTGCGCTCATTTTATCACTGTTCCGCTGTGTCTACTGTTCGATACGGTGGCATTTGAAATATTAATTAAATTGACTATTGTAAGAAAAGACGAAAAATCAAAAGTACGGAACAGTTTCGGATTGAGATGAAGAAAAAAACAACAACAACCACAAATCCAACTTCGTAGATATTTGCACTACTATTGGGACCACTGTGAATACACTCCACAGTATGCAAATGCACGTTCGTCGTAGACAAGTTCTTGCAATGTATGCACATCGAACATTTATCAAACTGTTTAGTCTTTCTTCGTTCGTTCATTTTATTCCTTAAACTTCTTCTATGTTGTTGCTGTCGCTCTTTTTCGTGTTTTTTTCTGTTGTTGGTTCTCCTTGCTCCTCATCATCGTCCCAACGCATATGTGTGTACATAAGCACGAATATAAGTATGTTGTTGTATGTGTGTGTTTTTTTTGTTCGTGCTTTATTTTTTGTTGCTTCGTTCGTTCATTATTAATTTTATTTTATTTCTTCGTTCGTTCACTCGTTTATTACTTCGTTCTCTGATATTATTTTGCCCATAATATGTGAACCGTTGTGCAGCCGTTGGTATTGTTGTTGCGGTCGCATGTATCTTGCATTCATTTCATCTAGACTATCATTAAAATGATAATAATAATAACAATAAATGTTTCGTAGGTCCCTGTGCTCTTTCGCGCTTTTTTCCTCCTACCGCCTCACTTTCATTCATATGCTTTATTATTCTCCTTCTCTCTCTGCTTTTTTTTTGCTCATTAGACTCTGACAATCAATAAGGATTTTCGCTAGAAATGCGACCTTTATAACTTGGAAATATAATTAGTTTTCGATATCTAAAAATTCAACTGTCCGGCTCCGCGTCTCATGAACGAAATACACACACACACACATAGAGAGAGAGAGAGAGAGAGAGAGAGAAATATGCGAGCACAAAGTGAGTGAGCGCACGGTTGGCCTGTTCCAGTCTGATTTATGCAATATTTGTGAATTACATGCCAAACGTTTTCATTTTTCTCATATGATTAATGTGTATACGTGTATATAATAAATACAATAAATACGTAATTATATAATGTACTTATAATTTGTGTGCACATAATTTCTTATTTTGCTTATTTTCTTTTGTTAGTTATTTTCGTTGCAATTTTGTGTCTTATTCCTTCGTTCACGTTGTTATTGCGATCGCATTCAAATCTTGTGGTAAATTTAAGTCTCATTCACTTTCTCTCTCTCTCTCTCTGAACGTTTCGCTTTTATTTTTCTTCCTTTCGCTTTGCCTCGCTCATTTTAATATTACTTAGTTGTTATCATTGTCTTGGTCGTTGTTCAGCGTCATTTCCCTCGAAATTTCGATTTCATCGTTTCCTTAATACAAGCAATTTTCTGTGCAACGAATAATTTATTCTTCCTTTTTATTCCTTCTCTTTCATTTTCTATCTCTGGCTTTCTCTCTCTCTCTCTCTTACTCTTCGCAACTATATAATTAATGCAGTCGCGTATGTTTTTTATGTTCTTAAGTTGCTAGATCCATCTTGGTCGCGTACTGCTTCACTGTGCCATTTGATTTTGATTAACAAAAATGAAAACAGTACGCTTTATCAATTTTATTTTAAGAACGTAATGCAAATTGAGAGAGAAAGAGAGAGAGAAACAAGGCAAGGAAACACTATGTTTAGTAAATTTATAGCGAGCAAGCTATGTTTCATATTTTGTGTGAGAACATAAAATATTCCATTTAAATAAATCATTTCATTTTCTATAATTTCCTCGATGAATAATTATACATTATGGACAGGAATAAAATATCGCACCTAAATTGATAGTTTTGATTCGGTTAAGATAGCTGCTGCAATATTTCTGTACAATAGATAAAACGTTTCATTAAATTGTTGATTTATATGTATGGTTTATTGTGCAGATTTCGTATGTAGTAAACTGTTAATGCCATTGATTTGATTTAAAGAATTCAAAACGGATATTATATTGAATATATTTGGGATAATCGTATTTTTCTTATGAATCAAAAGTTAGCGAACAAATAAAATGCAAAGATAAGTTGATTAAAAAAAATTTAACCCACAAAACGAATGTAATTGCGTTACAACTAAGCTTTTAGAAAGAACAACGACAATAAAGTTGATTTTCTAACCCAGTTCCCCATTGAAAAGACACGAAACCTTTCCGAATGAAGCTTACGTAGGTAAAAGTGAGTCGCACTTTGCTAGAAATTACAGCAGAGAAATAGTAATAAGCTTCCGAACAAAAAAAAATAAAGGCACTTGGTAAGAAATGATCAAATCTTCTGACTCGAACACAGAAAATGAAAAATATAATAAAATTACACGTACAGCAAGTTTAAAATTACGAATTTCCCAAGCGAATTGAGAAAGAGAGAGAGATAGACAAGATTACATACATACACACCCACAACCGAAGGTGGATGTTCATTGTAAAGTGCTGTGGTTTTTTGTGCATCTAATGCTCCATGAATTTTGTTGGGTTTTGTTTTATGTGTCTGTCGCTTGTAAGCAATGATACGAACTTCAAGTGCAAAATTAATAAATTACACTGATAATTAATTTTTATCAACGTGACTCTATAGCCGACATCACCATTCCAATGACAACGCAATTGAATATGTATAGCTGGTTTTCACTGGCTATATGACTGTGTGTATGTGTGCTTTCTCACACGTAGCATGTATATACGTTACCGGTGTCAAAACGTGTGGTATGCACTCGGGGAAGCTATGGAGATTTTTTTTTGTTCCGTTTTTTATATATATATATATATATATACTTTTTCTCCCCATTCGCATTCGTTCACAGAATCTCAATTTGATCCTCCATAATAACAATAAATTCTCGCCCACGTTCAACAACACAAGAAATTTTCAAGTGCCTAAAATTTAATCAATTTTCATGTGAAGTGGAACTTTTTTGCGAGAATAATAAAGAAAATACATATATAGCTCGATCGAATCGCCGTCGACATCGTCGCGGTATTTATTTTGTGTTTTACTTCAATTTTCTTCTCTTTTTTTGTGTGTGTCGGTGCTCATTTATTTCACATCGAACACATATATTCATTGTAAGTATTCAATTTCATTGTTTGGCCCATGCATAATTGCGTTCGTATTTTATCGAATGAAACATTTTCTCGTTCGCAAATCGCATCCCAAGTCCAATGTTTATTTGCGAATACACATGGAAAATACGAAATAGTCGAGAATATATCGCCACCCTTAAAACTTCACTTCGAATATATCTCATACCCTGATTGTCTTTAACATCGAACCGATATTGATATACCATCGTATAAATATATATATATATATATGCGTTTTGTAGTCGGTAGTTGTATGTTCATCGAAACAACGTTCGCCGTATAGCATGTGGTGCTGAGCGTGTATCTGTTTATTTTATACATTTGTTTTTTTTTTGCTATCGATTTTCTCTGCGCACCGAAACTTTTGCGCGTAATTTCGAATTTTGTGTGCTGATTGTATGGCGCACACAAAAAAGACGATATAGAAGATATAGAATGTTACGTACAAGTATAACGTAACGATGCTGAGAATGTATATCGAGGAAGCAGAAAGCAATTCCATCGTACGTTTGGTAGAAAGGGAAGATG